TATGCTGCCCTATCTCACAATGGACTCAGGGCGGCTCACAACAATAAAACACAAGCCACAATAAAAATAAAGACTAAAATCTAAAAAATTTAAAATTAACCCATTAAACCCATGTTGCCTGTATCTTTCAATTTATATTGTTTTTATTTGTTTCCTAGTATGATTTGATAGCTTATTAGTAACCTTGACTATCAAGGTTGACTAAGTGTTGTATCTTTTTATTCTTGATGAATGTATTTTATTCTCCTTATGTACACTGAGAGCATATACACCAAAGACAAATTCCTTGTGTGTCCAATCACACTTGGCCAATAAAGAATTCTATATTCTATATTCCTTAGATATTTGAAGACTGCTGTCATGTCACCCCTAGTCCTTCTCTTCATTAGCTAGACATACCCAGTTTGAGTTGGGGGGCTTCATCAATCTAGGAAATAAATAAATAAATTGGGAAAATGCGTTGGGAGTGGGGAAAGCACTATATATACCACCACAAGCAGGATATAAATCTAATAATACGTACATATTGCAGCCATTACCTTTAGGACTGCTAGTCTTCCCTGGTAATATTTCTGTCATTGTTAGATAGGAGTTTTGTCCTTGAGAAATTAGAACATTTCATCTTCCTTGGCTAGGTTGGGAGATGTCACCCATCCCATAGCTCAGACATTGAAAAAGTCCATTTATGATTCGCTCTAATTCAAGGTGGACTTCATTTCCTGTCAGCGGTCAAGGAACTTGTAATCTAAAAGTTTGGTGGCAAGTGCTGTTGAGTTTTCCAGGACCTGACCAAGAACTGGTGTGCTTGTTAAATTGCAAAGAACGATGACAAGTTGACATTTAATATTGTGTCTGCATGGCTTCTCTATCTTAAAACTTTCACTGCTGACATGCTTTCTCATGACAAAAGCCAACTCTGGGGCATTTTAAGAACATGTGCACAAACAGTCAGGTAGATATTTTTTCCCCATGGCGGCTTAAAATAACCAGCTCACAAAAAATGTTTCATCAGTTGGTGGTTGTGAAAGGCAATTATTTGTTAGAAAAGTTAATTTCACTCTCTTTCTCTCCCCCCTCCCTTCAGAATCACAAGATGCCTTCTAAATGTCCATGGAGATTCTTTCTTTCTTTCTTTCTTTCTTTCTTTCTTTCTTTCTTTCTTTCTTTCTTTCTTTCTTTCTTATTTATTTATTTATTTATTTATTTATTTATTTATTTATTTATTTATTGGTTCGATTTATATGCCGCCCTTCTCCGGAGACTCAGGGCAGCTTACAATGCGTTAAGCAATAGCCTTCATAGTTTTGTATATACCTGCTTAGTAGGGCTTTCGGGCCCCCCCTAAGCGGTGTTCTTTTTTATATAAAGTCATCTTATTGCCCCCACAATCCGGGTCCTCATTTTACCTACCTCGGAAGGATGGAAGGCTGAGTCAACCTTGAGCCTTGAGCCTGGTGAGATTTGAACTTGCAGTAATTGCAGGCAGCTGGTGCTACTTAACAGCACTTTAGTCTGCTGCGCCACCAAGGCTCTTGAGTTATCCAGGCCATAGTTGTTCCAAAGGTGCTTTTTCAAAAGACAACTGGACTTCTTTCTTTTTCCTTGAAGATGTTTTGCTTCTCTTCCAAGAAGCTTCTTTAGTTCTGTGAATGGTGGAGAATGGAAGGATTTATATTCCTTGCACTCCTCTGATCATTGGCCCTCTTTCTGAGAATCGCTGAGGCCACTTGAAATTTATCTGTGCCCTCAAGGTGATCTGAATAGTGCAAATGGATATGGAACGTTCTTGGAACTGTTCTTCTATGTTGTGCCATGAGTTTGTGAAGTGTTGTTTTGTTTCTCCAGTGTACAGATCTGCATATGTCTCACTGCATTGTACTGCATATTGCAAAACATGTGCAGATATGTATATTGGAAAAACAAAGCAACCACCTGCCTTTTGAAAAAGCACATTTGAGACAAGATGCCTTCTACTGATCACATTTTTCTTCAGGAAACCATCTCTGAAGGAGATGGGCAGTTTCTAAATTTGACAGATATATAAATAAATAGATAAACAAACAAACAGATTTTAATGATGAGGGAACAATATTTCCCTTCTAGAAATGCAGGCCTGGAACAGTGATCTACCCATTTAATTAAATATATGGCTGTAAAATGGGATGCAGTGGCTCAGTGGCTAAGACGCTGAGCTTGTCAATTGAAAGGTCGGCAGTTTAGCGATTCGAATCCCTAGTGCCATATAACGGGGTGAGCTCCTGTTACTTGTCCCAGTTTCTGCCAACCTAGCAGTTCAAAAGCACGTAAAAAATGCAAGTAGAAAAATAGGGACCACCTTTGGTGGGAAGGTAACAGTATTCCGTGCACCTTTGGCATTTAGTCATGCTGGCCACATGACCATGGAGATGTCTTCGGACAGCGCTGGCTCTTCGGCTTTGAAACAGAGATGAGCACTGCCCTCTAGAGTCAGGAACGACTAGCACATATGTGCGAGAGGAACCTTTACCTTTATCTTTTATGGCCGTAAAAGGCAGAATTCCTGGTCATCTGTATCAAAGAATGTATACTTAAAAGTATTATGCAGTGACACCTGAGTAGGAGGCAAAATAGTCAAGATGGCAGCTGTGAGGGCATTGTTCAAATCTTACCCCTTTGTACATCTGTGCAACATTGACATGGATACAAAAGAGGGGAATCTTCAGTCACATAATCACAACTACCATCTTGACTCTTCACATTTCAGTGCAAATACTTTCAGGGTTGAAATGTTGAGTTTCCCAAATCAACACCTCCTGATTAGGTCATTTTATGCAATCCTCATTCTATCACAGTTTCAGCACTGCCCATTAGAAATGCTGCTGAAATTGTCTGCACCATTTCTCTTGAGCATCCTGGATTTTCAGATTTACTTGTTAAGAGAGGAAGAGTGCCGTTTTAGCATCTTAAATATTGATTTACCTCAGTCGGTGGTCAAATAGATAATTTTAATTCCCAGTTCAGAGCTCTAATTTATATTAACTCCAGGCCACTGTCTGCTTCAATAAATGACCGTACCCTGCAATTCGGGAATTATTTTTGGAAATTATCTTTGATTACTTCACAGGCAGTAGAATATAAGGCTGAGGGAATAGTAAATGATGGAGAAGGAGTAAAATTCTCTTCAGTTTTCTTTTCTGTGTTAGGCAATGGGTAACTTGTACTCCATGCTGAATCATAACAGATAGTCCTTGACTTACAACAGTTCATTTAGTGACTGCTCGAAGTTACAACGTCACTGAAAAAAGTGACTTATGACCATTTTCACACTTTAACTGTTGCAGTATCCCTGTGGTCATGTGATCAAAATTTGAATGCTTGGCAAGTGGTTTGTATTTATGATGGATACCCTGTCCTGGGATCACGTGATCCCCTTTTACGACCCCCTGACAAGCAAAATCAACAGGAAAGCCAAATTCACTTAACAACCGTGTTACTAACGTAACAAATGCAGTGATTCACTTAACAACTGTGGCAAGAAAGATCATAAAATGGGACAAAACTCACTTAACACCTGTCTCAGTTAGCAACCAAAATTTCGGGCTCAATTCTGGTTGTAAGTTGAGGACTTCCTGCATTTAAAAATCATTTAAAGAAGAGAGAAAAACCTCTCGGATTCTCATCCTACCTATTTGCATCATATAACTCTCTAACCACTGCTCAGTGCGTCCCGCCTGAAATGTTAATTTTGCTTCACAGCATTAAATGTCCACACGAATGTGGTTCTTAATGAAAAAGATGATTCTACACACCTCTTCTGCGAGCTGGTGGAAAAAGCCTACCGTCCCGCAGAGCGGAAAGTTGATCAATCCTTATGAACTAAAAAACGACTCTATATCCTGTGGTTCAGACAGCTGCAAGAAAATAACTGTTGTTATAATTAGACCCTGACATGTCAGGCCCTATGACAAATGTCTTCATTAATGGCTGGAAAGAGAATTGATCTTACAAATGAGTTCTTGCAAAGAAATGCAATTGGAAGATCCCTTAAGGCAATGGCTGATATATATTCATGTACATAAACACTCATGCATGCATGCACACAACAGGGTGAATGAGCTAACGGAGAATAAATAGGAATTTCTCAAGAGACTTTGTGAGAAGGACGGGACGGGGGGAGAAATGTGAAATTCTGAGGGACTGTGTGTTCAATAGATTTGCAAGGGATGTCTCCTGAGAGTTATTGATTGCCGTCTGTAGATGATTGAGTGACAGTTTACTGCTGAGGAAAGCAGAGATTGTTGAAGAAATTTAAGATAGCCAGGCCAGTGAGATCTCTGAATAGGAATAGAAAAGAGGTGTTGGCTGTAGGAATGGTAAGGAAAGTCCCTTATAATTTCATATTCTAAGACAGAGGTCTCCAAACATGGCAACTTTAAGATGTGTGGACTTCAACTCCCAGAATTCTGGCTGGGGAATTCTGGGAATTGAAGTCCACAAGTCTTGTTACCAAGTTTGGAGACCCCCGTTCTAAGGCAAGAGGTTCCATTTCTAGATGTTAAATAGAGAGAAACTGAACATTATAAAATACAGTCTTTATTTTGCTCTGGACAGTGTCCCATCAAAAACTTCCATAAAATCAGGATCCAATCTGGGTCGGTCACTGGGACCAGAGGTTTAGTCCTTTGAGGTTTTGGACTCATGCTGGAGCCCATCCTCAGGGAACTTCTCTCTCACCAGAACATCTATGTCACACATTCTGTCTGGTGACATAGATGTTCCTTGAGGATGGCTCTAACATGAGTCCAAAACCTCAAAAGTCTAAACCTCTGGTCCCAGTGACCGACCCACATTGGATCCTTCAACATTATCCTCAGACATGTATATTTGTCTTCATTCCATAAGATCAATTGTCCATGAGAATTTGTCCTATATAGATAGATAGCTGCCAGGAAGGCAAGCAGACATTGTGACATCATAATGCAAACTCCACCTGTTACTCCTTTGATGGGCAGTGGAAAGAGAGAACAACATGACTTGCATTGTGATTCACAACGTACATTTATTTTATTTTATTTCATTTTGACGTCATCAAAGTTATGAATTGGTGTCTATGGCTCTGTCACAATATAAAAAAGATGTGGAGACTCTAGAAAGGGTGCAGAGAAGAGCAACAAGGATGATGAGGGGACTGGAGGCTAAAACGTATGAAGAACGGTTGCTGGATTTGGGTATGTCTAGTTTAATGAAAAGAAGGATTAGGGGTGACATGATAGCAGTATTTCAAAGGGGCTGTCACAAAAAAGAGGGGAACAACCTATTCTCCAAAGCACCTGAAGGCAGGACAAGAAGCAATGGATGGAAACTAACCAAGAAGAAAAGCAACCTAGGACAAATTTCCTAACCGTGAGAACAATTAACCAATGGAGTGTCTTGCCTCCAGAAATTGTGGGTAATCCATCACTGGAGGTTTTTAAGAAGGGGTTGGACAACCATTTGTCTGAAATGGTATAGGACTTCCTGCTTGAGCAGAGTGTTGGACTAGAAGACCTCCAAGGTCACATCCAACTGTTATTCTGTCCTTGTACCCTTCCTTCTGAATTTGGTGGCATATTGGCTTCCAGCATACAAGAATTAGTCTATGACAGTGATGGCTAACCTTTTTGCCATCACGTGCCAAAAGCGGGGGGAATGCGGGGTAGTCGCACCCGTGCGTGCCCACACCCATAATTCAATGTGCCCCGCGCATGTGCGTGCGACCCCCCCTGCTCCCCCCGCTTTTGGCACACAATGGTACGGTGAGCCCGGTAGGCCCGTTTTTTGCCCTCCCCAGGCTCCAGATGCATTCTTGGAGCCTGGGGAGGGCGAAAACAGCCTCCCCCCCCAGAGGCCCTCCAGAGGCCGGAAATGGCCCGTTTCCTGACTTCTGGTGGGCCCTGAAGATCCATTTTTCACCCTCTCCAGACTCCAGAGGCTTTCTAAGAGCCTGGGAAGGGCGAAAATTGCCTTTCCCACCACCACCCCGGAAGCCCTCCGGAGGCCAGAAACAGCCCATTTCCCGACTTCTGATGGGCCTGGAAGGCCTGAAAATCAGCTGCCGGTGTGTGCATGCACGGTGGAGCTGAGCTAAGGCAACGCTCGCGTGCCCACAGATATGGCTCCACGTGCCACCTGTGGCACACGTGCCATAGGTTCGCCATCATGGGTCTATGAAAAAGTTAGCTTGGTTGGCCCGCAGTGTTTTAAGCGAGGACATTCTACATGACAATAATTTGTGTGTGTGCTCCTCATGGTGGCTTTGATCAGTGCGAATGTGGTAATGCTGTTTAGAATGATTGGGTGGCTTGGGAGCACTCTATATATTGCTGTCAGTCATGGTGACAGTGTGTTCTCCTTGCCACATTTCTGCTTGATTAACTGACTTGATGTTACATGTTTTATCCCTATCAGATGACCTTTTCCCTGACCACTTCCAGGAGATACTATTTTCCCACAATCATCCTCATTATTAATGACACTGATATATTCTTTTACAAACAACCGGGCTCAAAGAAAAGGGCAGCATCAGCTCCAGAAGCATTTCCAAGCAATTCGGCATGTATTTAAGCAGAGGCCATATAAGAAGAAATGGATGCTGTTTCATATAATGTATTTATGCATAAATATTTTTTTTAAAAAAAAACACTTGATGTCATTTTAAAGCATATGTGTCTGTTCCTTTTTTAAAAAAAAACTAGGATCACATTTATTATGTAGGGACTTGCTATTTTGGCTGTTCCTCTGTTAATCTACTTTTAAGTGGGTGTTAGAGCTTAGCAGGGTCAAAAAGAAGCCGCTAAATACAAAATATGACGCAGTAAATCCCAAATATAGCAAATGAAACTCAGAAAGTCAGGAAACATAATCCATAATCAGCTGGTGTTTGGATTCTGAAACAGGCAAATACTACACACAGAAAGAGAAACAGAAGCAACCCAAAATAGTTGTCAACTCTCAAAGCATCCCTGGCCTGCTCTCGAGTTGCCATAGGCCATCCCTCCTGATGGGAAACCAGCAAAATGGCACAGCAGCCAAAGACAGATGCACATCCCATGCTTATCTCTCTCAAGGCTGTATCCCAGGGTTACCTATAGCAGTCGGAGGGGAGTGACCTCTACAACCCATGAAATTGCTCCATTGGCAAAAGTGATTGATGACACACCTGGGGGGGGAGGGGGGAAACAGGGTCATAATTGAAGTGTAAATTACATAGGGTCAGAGGTGGCTTCTCTTGGGAATGTGCTTACATGAAGCTCTTAATAAATAACTGGATTTTTTTGAAGCTTAGCTCAAGACTCATTATTTAATTAGGGCATCCATCGGAACCCTGACAATAGTCTTGGAAGGCAGTAGTGGAGGCAAGATGGAGAAGGTCATACAGCTACTCTATCAAAGTGAAGGCCAAGTCAAGGAGGCTCCTACTGGTTTTCTCCTAGTATACCTAGGTGTAGCAGGTGAAGCTAGGCAAAATCAAATCAGATACCTGCACAATTAGCACACACATACACACACCCTGGGCTGTGTGGTCTCGTCAGTTCTCTCTAAATACCGATGACTGCATCTCAAAAGATCCCTCTGTTAAAGTACTGAAGTTTGCAGATGATACAAACGTCACTTAAAGTACTGAAGTTTGAAGATGATACAAGGTGTTTGTGTCAAGTTTCGAAGTCGTCTCAAATAAATTGCATTTCAAACAAAGTCTTTGAAGAAAAACTCCTATTTATTAAGCACGACATTCTAAACCCGACTCCATCGAAGCCAACACTGACTTCCAGCCCCAAAACCCTCCCTTTCCGTTCCCCACTCCCCTGCACTCATTGGCCATCTTCCAAGTCATTCTACCCCTAATCTACTCCAGCTCAAAGGAATTTCCCCCTCCCATCCCATCTCCTAGGGGATATTATCTCCAGGGAAAATAAGTAGGTGAAAAGTCAAATGTCCCTTTCCAGATGCCTTCGCTTCTCCTTCTTATGTCAGCACTAGAGTAAATGCAGCTTGAAGTACTGACAGTTTGGTCTCATTCGAGACAACGACGAATCTGCATACAGATGGGAGGTTGAACAACTAGCCTTATGGTGTGACTGGAACAATCTTGAACTAAACACACTCAAAACTGTAAAAAGGGTGGTAGATTTTAGGAGAAACCCTCCTATACTACACCCTCTTAAGTACTAGACAACACAGTATCAAACGTAGAGTCCTTCAGATTTCTAGGTTCTATCATATCTCAAGACTTAAAATGGACACCTAACATCAAAAACGTCATCTAAAAAGCTCAACAAAGAATGTTCTTTCTGTGCCAACTCAGAAAGCTCAAACTGCCCCCAAAAGCTGCTGATTCAGTTCTACAGACGAATTATTGAGTCTGTCATCTGCACCTCTATAGCTGTCTGCTTAGGTTCTGCAACCAAAGAAGACAGACACAGACTTCAGAGGATAATTAGATCTGCAGAAAAAACAACTACTACCAACCTGCCTTCCATTGAGGACCTGTATACGGCACGAATCAAAAAGAGGGCTGTGAAAATATCTACAGACCCCTCACATCCTGGACATAAATTGTTTCAACTTCTACCCTCAAAACGACGCTATAGGGCTCTGCACACCAGAAGAACTAGACACAAGGACAGTTTTTCCTGAATGCCAACACTCTGCTAAACAAATAATTCCCACAACACTGTCAAACTATTTAATAAGACTGTATTACTATTATTCTTCTCATCCTTCCTATTACTTATCTCCTCCCATTTATGACTATAATTCTTGTTGCTTGTATCTTTACGTTTTATATTGTTTTATTTAGTTTCCCAGTATGATTTGATTGCTTATTTAGTATCCTATGGCTATCACTAAGTGTTGTATCTTATGATTCTTGATGAATGTATTTTTTTTTCATGTACACTGAGAACATATGTAACAAAGACAAATTCCTTGTGTGTCCAATCACACTTGGCCAGTAAAGAATTCTTATTGCATTACCTGATTCTTCTAGGTTGATCGGCTATAATTTTCCTTCCTGACCCAAAGGTGCTTTTTTAGGAGGCAACTGGACTTTCTTGTTTTTTCATTGAAGACATTTTGCTTCTCATCCAAGAAGCTTCTTCAGTTCTGACAGGATAGTGGGGAATGAAAGGATTTATATTCCTTGAAGACAGCTGGTCATTTGCATCCTTTTAGAGGGTCGTTGAAGCACTTGGAGGTTGATCTGTGTCCTCAGGGTCACCTGAGTGGTGCTCCTGGTTCCTGTAGTCTGCAATTTTTCCTCTGGAAATCCATTCCTACTCCCACATCATTCAAAGGGTGTTCATCCCAAATTGTAATAGCTAAAACTCTGTAGAGATTCTCAGTCATCCTGGAAGAATGAGAAGTGAAATGTCTTCAAAGAAAAAAAAACAAACAAGGAAGTCTGATTCTTTTGATGCCGAACTAGAAAAGCAAAGAGATGGAGGAAATTTATCAGTCTCTAAATAAGAGAATCGGGCCAGTCTTGAGAAAATAAAAAGGCATCGAATCCATTCCTTGCTTGGAAAATAAGAGTTTCTCTGGAAGAAAAATGCATCTAGCATCAGAGTCATTATCAAGATCCAGTGCTTTTGTCAAAATGCCAGAAACAGTGCTGTATTTCTGTGACACCTTCCCACAGGAGACTTGACAATGCATTTACAAAAGAGTCAGAGCTTACATTATGTTGGGCCAGTTGGTATTGTCATTTCTCCCTTAAACCCTATTTAGAAAAGTCTTCCTTGTACATGGCAATGTAGAGAAAAGGGTTTCGGTATCTAAATATTTAAAGCATTTGATAATTCCAAAAGAAGCTGTAGAGATTCTCAGTCATGGTTGTCCCAAAGGTGCTTTTTCAGGAGACAACTGGACTTTCTTGTTTTTTTTTTCTTTTGAAGATGTTTTGCTTCTCATCCAAGAAGCTTCTTCAGCTCTGACAGGATTCCCATTCCCCACTATCCTGTCAGAGTTGAAGAAGCTTCTTGGATGAGAAGCGAAACGTCTTCAAAAGAAAAAAAAAACAAATAAGTCCAGTTGCCTCCTGAAAAAACACCTTTGGGAATTCCAAAATGGAAGAAAAAATGTGTTCTGGATTATAGGGTGGGAATGTTCAGAAGCCAAAAATTAAACTAGAGACAATGCCATCAGTAGCTCCGGCTGGAATGTGAGGCTATGCCAGTGGTGGAATTCAAATTTTTTTACTACCAGTTTTGTGGGCTCGGCGTGGCGGGTGTGGCATGGCTTAATGGGTGTGGCTTGGTGGGCGTGGCAGGGGAAGGATACTGCAAAATCTCCATTCCCTCCCCACTCCAGGGGGAAGAATATTGCAAAATCTCCATTGCCACCCCACTCTGGGGCCAGCCAGAGGTGATATTTGCCAGTTCTCCAAACTACTCAAAATTTCTGCTACCGGTTCTCCAGAACCTGTCAGAGCCTGCTTAATAGCACCCCTGGGATACATGTGGATAACATAGGTATAGGCACAAGCCTTATGTCGAGTCCTGCCGGAGCTCGCCATCGATGGGGTGTGTGGGAGACGAGGAGTGGAGATAAGCAGCCGCAAAGAACACACAAACAGTTCCTGGATAGCAGCATTCAGGGCAATGATTGATGACGTTGCTGGGCCTCTCCGATTCTGCTGTCCTCACTGCTCGCAGCTGTTACTGTTAAGGGAGTGGGGGGTGCTTGATTGATAATCACCGGATGTATGTTTAAGGGGCTGAGTTTTTGTTAAATAGCGCTGTGGTGTGATTACACCCAGCGCTGACTTTGAACCAAAACACCGACTTGTACTTTACTTTTGACTGCAAGCTTATCATTGCCAAAGTAAACCCTGATTCTCTGTGTGTTACTGGTGATTATTTCCTATCGCAGTTCTGAACGAACGACAAGCCGAGAGAAAGTCAGCGCTTGGTTCTTTTTCGCAAGAGGTGAGGAGTCCCTGTGGCTTTGCAGCAAAGGGGGATATGGCAGAAGGGACGGCCTTGGAAGAGCAGGAGTGTGGTGGAGATGTGGAGGGGGAGGAACCACTGATAGAGGAGGTGAAGGAGAGTGTGGAACAGTTGGCAGTGAAACCAAAAGTCAAGCAACCCAAGAGCGCCCCGCCCCGACCGGAGGAGGAGAGTTTTCCAGGACAACGGGCTCGGACGGGGGATTGGTGGCACAGCTCTGTTCTCCTCGGGCCACGGATGCCAACACCCCCTCGGTTGGGAGCATCTTTCCAGGGCTGGAGGGAAAGACGATGGACTGAGGAGGATGAAGGGGATTGGGGGTATCCTGCCTCATCCGGTCCCAGCACCATGGATACGCTACGTGAGCGTTTTGGGGAATCTGGATTTCGTGACGCCCCATCCTGGCAGCCCTGGGTTGCAGGGCTGGAGCCTCCAGGTTCTTCTTGGCAGGATACAGGGGTGCCCGCTTCGGAGACCCAGTTCCGGCTCACAAGTCCTAAATTGAGGATGGAGCGGACCTCTAGACGATCCATGGACCAACCCCCTCCAGAACAAGACCAAGGTGCCTCGTCGGGAGACCTTGGAGCCGGTCCTGAGCCCCAACCAACGCAATTGGCAGGGGGCTTACCTGTTGGGGGTCGCGGGGCGACGAGGGACCAACCTAGGCAGGACAGGAGAGCGACTGGAGCAGCGAGGACCCCAGGCCCCAT